CCTCCTAGACAAGAATCATCCATTAAACATTTGAGAAGTTCATCATTATTAAATAAAAAAGCTGATGAACTACCCGAAATTACCATATCATCATTTAATTCAAATCCTCTTGTTGAACATTCCCCTAGACGTCTAAAAAAAACTATTCATCGTAAAAGATCATCAACTCATCAAACTCCAAAAACGGATTTCACAATATCATCACATACCGATGATCTACTATTAACAACAAAATCATCGTTTAATGATTCTTTACCATCGACGTATAAAAAAGAATTAACAGTTGTAACTGTTAATGATATTGATGGTCATTCAAGTTCATTAGATAGTGGTTATGATCGTTCGGATTCACAAAGTATTGTATCCGGATTATCAACAGTTCAAAATTCATCGTCTCTTCGATCGTCAGCACGTTTAACAAATTCCAGTTCACTTGTACGCCATAAAAAAAAAGTATCATTTGGAGATGAAGCAATTGCCTATGCATAGTGAAAAAAGTCGATAAATGCAAAGTATATATAAACAAATGGAATACTTGAGATGAATCTTCTTTCAATTGTTTGTTGTATATATACAGTCAGCATTCAGAATAAACTACAATGGTTATGATCGACTAAAATTATATCATATGAGAATACAAATTTGATAATAACATTTTGTGTTTATGATGCTGCATCCTTTTCTGATTCCATTAACAACATGCTCCTGTATCGAGGGTGGAGAGTCCATATATATTTTTGACAAAACTATCTAATCACTCCTGCAAGTACGACTACTGTCATAGGTGTTACACTATGCACGTATTATGACCAATCTTTGTGAAAGACATCTTTTTGCAGTATCGTCAGAAAGCTCCCGATAATGCATTCAAATAGAGCACAACGTATGAAAAATTTATTTCCAGAGAATATGTATCCAATTCGCACTACGAATTTCAGCTTCTCTTTAGCCCCTATTTTTGAGTTATGACTATTTTTTGTTAACTTGTTCAGAATGAGCACGTTTAATATAATCCATCATCACAATTATCGGACTAAATTTTTTTCCAATTGCACACAGCTGAGTATTTTGTTTGATCGCAGAGTCCAGAGTTGTTTAGTAGATGAGAAATACTTTGGCAATTCAATTTTTCAGTTAATTAGGATCTAAGATAATATAGAATTCTTGAATCCATTCTTAAACAATTTGTAGATGAGAAAAATGTCTTACATTGATTGATACTAACTAGCGAGAACAGCATAGTTATCGGATCGTTTCTACATTGTTCTCGTCCTTTACCTCGGACCGTTTTCTCGCAAGAAAACGATCTCTCTATGATACTTTTTATGGACTCATTAACAGACTTTTCCTCAAACTAATTATTTATGATTTTTTATCTCAAATCTTTTCAAATTTCTGGGTTTTAGTATTACAGCGAGTACATGCTCTATTGCTGTAAATCATATCATTAATGCCAGGAGCAACCTGTGTCAAACCAAAAAAAGTGTTTGTCACTGCAGTGTCCACGAAAAGACGAAAAGGTAAATTTTCTGCATTTTTCCAAAAATATCAATGATTATTAAATGGTAGCAAAACAAAAAGGTAGCTGAGTCGGTGAAAAATCATGGAATAATGTTTTCAACAAAGTTTACAAACCGTAAACTCCTTTTCGTGATGTTCTAGTAGATAAACGTTTTCTTACTTATTTTATCAGGAAAAGTGTGCGTCAATGTTAAAGGACACTTGTGTCTGAATGCCCAAATCACACATCCGACAGTATGCTCACTATGTTGGGATATACAATACGATTCCTCCGAGGAATAACGAAAGTTAAGTAGGCTACTTAACCTTCATGATTTTCCAGAAAGCTAGTACATAAGCGGTGAGAGTAGCTCATTCAAGTGGTCGAAAATAACTTTGAGTCAGATACACCCTTTACTTAGATCTACAATGAGTAATAAGTAACGATATGAACGACCGTCGCACAAACTTATCCGTGGGGAAGGTATCAGACTGTTGAAACTGACACGTGTCACCATATATGAAAAATAATGGTAGCCGTAAAGCGGGATATTCCTCTTTCAGTAGTAAAGAAAACTCATACAATCTGTGAGAATATCTGTCTAATTCTAATAATAAAAGCGAGAGACAATTAAAAAGATGTTTCAAAACATCGAATAACAGTACAACTTTGGAAATCAAAATCAAAACAAAGATTTGTCTAATAAAAGAAGAACGTATTGATTTCGGGTTACACAATCCAAATATCATAGAGTATGAAAAGATTTTAACTTGTTTTCTACTCGAATTGTCTTCTAAACAAAACAATGAGAATAAAGTCAATAAAAAATCATCCGAGTATCATCTATCAAAATTAATTGTATATCAGCAGTTAAATTTTGTACTTCTCATGACCTAGAAGTTTGCACTGAGCCTCCACCCGATTGATTTTTTGATACCAAACTTCGAGGCGTTAAGCCCATTTGTTGATCTGCTTGGCTACCTAGTTCTTGTTCGAAATACTCTTTTTCATTATTTTGACGATGAAAAAACTGTGTTAAGCAGTGACGAAATGGATATTCATGATAACATAGTCCAATAATGCATACACCGCATATTAATGTGACCAGTAAACTGGTGATTACATAATGAAGTGTAGGATTTTCCGCTTCTTTTGTACTGTTAGGTGAATTTGTAGTATTCAAAATAACACTCTGATTGATAAGTAATCGTATAGTTGAAGTCCAGATAATGATCGTTGATTCTAGATCCTAAAAAGATATCTGTAAGATTGAATTCTAATTCGGTTTCAAACACTTTTTACTGTTTCTATTCCAAAAGTATCGTCCAATTCCAAAGGTGGCGTACTTTGTGTAGTTGACGCTTGCATTGTATGGTTATTAAAAGCACTAGGTAACAAAGTAGATGATTGATTACTGAGTGTTATTTCGATGGTGGTTGTTGTGTTTGAATCAGTTGTCAGTAATGGTGTTTGTGATACTCTGAATCTGTTAGTATTCATTCTAAATGTTGATGCTGTTGAATGTTCCCAAGATGTTTTAAGATTTCCAAGACTAATTAAAATAGATGTAATTGGTTTTTTTCTTTGTTTTACTGTTAATTCTGAATTTTTGATAGTCGATTTAGTTACCGTTTTACTAGTAGTCATAATCTTTTTGATGATCGGAGTAGCTGCAGTTGTAATTCCTGTAGCGGTTTCAACAGCTCTTATGGTTGATGATATTTTTGTATCCTTATTAACTGATGACGGCAATGTTATGACTTCCTGAATGCAAATTAATTTAGTTAAAGCTTAAACAATGTTCGGTTAGCAATTTTATGGTGAAGATTCTTAAAGAAACATAGTTCCATCTAGTAAACTACTTTCAAGAGTAAAGATTAATGGCCTCTGTAAACGTCTTGTATTCCATTTAGTCATTAATAACCAGTCGTGAACTCACCGCTTTACTCATGTCATTTGATTTTACAGAATTTGAAAAAAGTATTGTGAAAAGTGTGAGACAACTAATTATGAAAAGAACAAAACTTCAGAATTGTTCAATTATTTTTCTTCTATGAGAAAATGATGAGAGTTCAAAAATAATCGATTTAAAACGGAGCAAAACACGCGTATCAGGACAACCTCTGTGGTTTAGTTCAGCCCGTTATAACTTTCGAAGAACACATTTATCGCAGCATAATTAGTCATCTTTCAACTTTTCAATACAATGATTGAAATGTTAACGCACGTACAGACTCTCATAAGAATGTTATATTTACCATTAGTAATTTTGTACTGTTGATTATTTCTATGCCAATTTGCTTCATGTTCTGAACAATTTTTTCTTGACTTGATTTATTAATTGACCTCGTTACATCTTGTATTACAATTGTTTTGTAACCAAATTGTATTGCATCCATTGAACTGTACCATACAGCATAGTCAAATGCAAAACCAACCAGATAAACATCTGTTATTTTATTAAGCCTGAGTATTTCATTTAACCGTGTATTTTTATACCGATTGGTGAATATCGAATAAGAATCTGAATGACAATGATCTCCATGTCGTACAAGTTCATCTCTATCTTTTCTGTTTAATTCTTGAACAAATTGGGCACCATGCGTATTTTCTACACAATGATCAGGCCATAATTGTTGAATTATCTGATTTGTTTGAATTTCTGTTCGATTTACTCCACAGAAAACACCCAAAGTATACATTTCATTATAATTACATAGATAATTGTGTTCAGTATAATTAAGATTTGAATAGGTAATAAAGGGTAATGCACCTGGAGCGCTTGAGTTTGTAAAACGAAATGTATTTGGATTTGATTTTAAATGTGCCGATGCAAATGAAACATGTTGTCTACAATGCCAGTCTTGGGTGAGCACAATCAATTCAAATAATTTTAATTCACGTAATTTATTTATAATCGATATTATTTGAGATCCATTTGGTATTGCTAGAGAACCATTTTCCACAAAATCATTTTGTACATCAATAATGATTAATGTCGCTTTTTCAATCAACATTTTTGATGTTTTTGTAAATTTTTCATTTGATTTCGTGGTCTATAAAAAATGGAGGATGGATTAATCAGTTCATAGTTATATCTATAGATGAGACTATACTTCGTACATTACCTGAACTCGTTTTTTGGTTGCTTTTCCGCTAACTTTAACAGAGATTTGAACTTGTTTCGTATACAAAAAGTCGCTTATGAGAACAGATGGATTTATTATCGATGAGTAATTAGGCTCTGTTTGAATAAATGAATGATTTCGTTCATGCACTAAATAGTGAAATAATTATCAGACTTTTAAACGTTTTTTGTTGCTTCTCTTATCCGTATATTTATTCTTAGCCAAACGTTTTGGCTTGATAAAGCCTTTTTCGATGATAGTTCAGAAGAAAATGCATGTCAGAAATAAAAATCGAAAATAAGTAAAATTATCATCTTACTTTCTCATCCTATTTGACAATTTACTTTAGAGAAAAACGATAAATTTGGAATGCTAATTTACTTCTGTTCGATTTTTATTTTTGACATGCATTTTCTTCGGGATCAGCATCGAGAAAGGCTTTATAAAGCCAAAATATTCGGTTCAAAATAAATATACGGATAAAAGAAACAATAGAAAAGTTTAAAAGTTATACACATTTCGAACACAGTAACAATAAATAACAATCAGAACAGTTAGTATTCATAGAAGCACATCATTTTTTCTTCTCAAAGGCGATTTCTATTATGATAATAGAAATCGCCTTTGAGAAGAAAAAATGATTAACATTCTTAAATATTTGAAGTTCAAATATTTAAGAATGCTAATTTTTCTAGATTTGACAAGTCTTAGTCATAATTCGGTCGAACGGTTGCAGATTTGTTTTCATCCTAGTTGTTTATTTCGATGTGCTTGTGCCTTAACCCTTTGCACTCCCTTGGGTCATTTTTGGCCCATTCGTAGAAAGTTTGCAGAAAATAAAGAAAGCATGAGATTCAAAAACTCCCAAGACAATATTTCTAGGGAACTCCATAAGCTATCGATTGGTAGAAAAAAATATT